AATTATAAAATGATAAGCCAACACATAAATGAATCTCATCAGTTCAATGGGTATATTCCAGTTAGGCTTAGTAACAGAATTCAGGCTAGTGTTTTCAAATTGCCAGTTAGCTCACCCTATACTGTAGCTTCATTGCTGTTTAATTATCTTTATGCGTTCAATATCGGACCAGAAAAAATCCAAACAAATCCAAAAGAATCTGCACAACCTTTGTATTTGCTCTACACTTGGCATAGTCTAAGTGCAGCATGGTGCTGTTGGATAAACTAGAATCACATAACATATTTATAAAAAGCTGAGCATGTATTTTGATAGGTTTGCGATAGGATGATGCAGTACTGGTTAATCAACAGTCCATTTGGATTGTGGCTTTGTCATTGTATAACACAGTGGTTCCCAGCCTCTTTTTGACCAGGGACCACTTGAACTGGGACCACTTTGACCAGGGACTACTCTCTAACATTAGTACCAAAAGGGTTACAAATCAGGTTTTGGTCAACTTTAGATTTGTTTTGGTTATTTGGGGTGCAGAGTCAGAAAATTGTATTGGATAGACCACATCAGCTCTAGTTTCTGATACAGAACATGTGCCATTCAGTGGTCGCCATCTGCTCGCCCACAGAAAACCATATTTAACAATCTAGACCTGATATGGTAGTAGTAATCTTTCATGGGTAGTCAGCCTCTTCCTTCACGACATCCCCATTGCCATGGCACTATAAGAGGGTTTCATGAGACCAGTTGCTCTTGTTGCTGCGTTGTTTTGAGGAAACAGTGAGTCCATGGTGAGGCCATGGACCATATTGTTGTTCTTGTGGACCACTGGCGGTCCACAGACCACAGATTGGGAACTACTGGTACAGCAAGACCTCTGTGCCCTCCCATATCTCTTGCCATGGCACTATAAGAGGATTTCGCGAGACCAGTCACTCTTGTTGCCGCGTTGTTTTGAGGAAACAGTGTGGACTACTGGCAGTCCACGGACCACAGGTTGGGAACTACTGGTACAGCAAGACCTCTGTGCCCTCCCATATCTGTTGCCTGAAGTGTTTACCTCAATCTGCCAAACAGTAGGGTCAGCCCTAGAATGAGTCATACCTCCCATAGGCATAAGTACACAACTAGGCAGGATGTAGCAGTCCATATTACTAAGAACTAGTAGAAAGGAAGGAACGTTATCATTTAGACATTTACTTTTAGGCCTTTGATGAAGTCAAAACAGGTAAGAAGTGCCACCTCACTCTTCCTTTCTACATCTGCTGCTTGTAATAAGGCTGCCTGGATGCAACATCCCAGTGAAAAGCCTCTTTCTCCCATGACTTAGGTGCCGTCTATCCAAGCGATAAAATATTTTCTGCACTACTCATTCAGCTCAGGCAGGAAGGCTGGTATAGGGTCATCCGTGAGTCACTGAATCAGGATCTTCATGCCAAGGTCTCTTGGCAGAGTTTGCAAGGATAATGCCATAATCAGGAACGTTGGAGTAGCAGAATAGCATTCGCTGTTACTTTTTGAACCATAATGCATATTACTCATTGTTTTATGAATCATGCATTACTAATGTTACCTTTAGTTCTCTTACCTTTTGTTCTCTTTGCAGCAATTGCCTTGAATCCCCCTTCCCCCCATACGCCCCACCCCAAGATGAGAAGTCTGACAATCTTCAACATATCTCATTTGCTCTGGGAAAATATGCATTGAGAGGAAACTGCCTTTTAAGTTTGATTATGCCAGAGGTTTAAAAAGCTGGACATTCAACAGAAGAATAATCAATCATGCATAGAATCAATTCTAATGGAATTCTAAATGGATGTTATGAAATGAAGCTAATAAGGAGCCAATAGAGTTTTATGAGATAGGAGAAATTGTTATAACAGATGAGACTGACAAGTGTGGAGTGCCTCCATGCTAGGACTCCTTCCACTCTACACAGTTACAGCACTATGATTGCACTTCTGCTGCTATGGTTCCAGTCAATGGAATATTGGGATTGACAGTTTAGGGAGGGAGCCCTAGAATTCTTAGCCAGGGAACTCTTAAGTGTCTAATCAAACTACAAGTCCCAAGAGGGAACCAAAGTGCTATAGTTGTTTTACAGTGAAAGGGCTTCAGATTCCAGACACTCCCATTCATTTCTTGCTTGCCCCACACACTTGTACTCCCTCCTCCTCTAACAATTTCTTGTCCTTATGTAAACTTCATCCCACACTCCCTGACTTCTGCTCTATTGTTATTTGGGTTGCTTAAGAATTGCAGAATTGGGATTATTATTAGAATTGTGATTAGTACTTTAGGATTTCTTGGAAGCCCTTGTTTTTGTTCTCAAAGCTAATGATGTTCTTAATGATTTGGGAGTTCTGAATGTTTGTCTACCATAATCTCAGCTGGATAAGTCTTTTGGTCTTATTTCTGTACAAACAGGCTGTTTCTTGACTTTTGCTCTTCATATTTTCTTCTGCTATGCTACCTGTCACTATGAAATGTTCTCTTGGCGCACTTCTGTTTGTTTCTGTCGAACACTACAATGCTGAAAAAATACAGCTGTGTTTTTAGAATGCAACAGACCACACATCCCAGCTGCTATTGTACCATGGCTGAAGCGGAAGCAGCTAGTACATAGAGAAGCAAACAGTTTGATGGACTAGTTTCAGGGTCGGTTCTATTTTTAAGGAGAGGCATGAGATCAGTGGTGTCAAACTTGTGGACTTCCAAGTGTTTTGGACTTCAACTATTGTAATTCCTGGCCATTGGACAAGCTGGCTATGGCTTCTGGGAGTTGAAGGGCCAAACATCTGGAGGGCCACAAGTTTGACACCTCTGCTTTCGATGATGGGGACCAGTGGTGGTAGTTACCTAGCTATTCCTCTTAAACCTTCTGGATATTCTCCTCTCTTGGAAGACAGCACTATATGCCATGGTCATATTCTTCTCTGAACTGGTGGTTCCCAACCTTTGGTCCTCCAGTTGTTTTGAACTTCAACTCCTAGAAATCCCAGCCAGTTTACCTGCTGTTAGAAATTGTGGGAGCTAAAATCCAAAACACCTGGAGGGCCATAGGTTTGACACCATTGCTCTAACCAACTACTCACCAAGGTAAGGGAAGAAGAGCACATAATCTATATGCACATAATGGGACACCTTTGAGATGAGACCCAAGTCTAAACACTTTTATATTCATTGTATACACCTAGGTTGAATTTTATACACAATGTTTGTAAGCAAAGTCCAAACAAAATGTGTGGACATTGAACCACCAGAAACCAAACATGCCACTATCCCAGCCCTCCACATGGATGATTTTGGATTTTGGAGTAGAATTCCAGATAAGAGAGGCTCAATCTGTAAAAAGTACAGTGGGCCTTTGGTATCTTCTGAGGTTTGGTTCCAGGGCCCCATGTGGATGTTTTATGTTTGATGTTTTTACGTATAGTGTTTTAATGGTATAATTAATATTTATGTTATTGATTTTAGTTAATGTTATAGATTGCTTTTGTATGTATATTAGCAGCGTTGAATTTTGCCATGTTGTACACTGCTCTGATTCCCCCTCGGGGTGAGAGAGCAGTATAGAAATGCAGTAAATAAATAAATAAATACCAAAATAGATTGATACTCAAGTCTCACCATATACAATGGTATAGTAAAATAGTGTCATTCATATAAAACGGAACCCCAGGTCTCGGCGGTGGCCAGGAGAGCTTTAGCACAATTAAAACTTCTGCACCAGCTGAGCCCATTGGGAAGTCTGACTTGGCCACGGTGGTCTATGCTCTGGTTATATCCCGAATAGACTACTGCAATGCTCTCTACGTGGGGCTGCCTTTGAAAACTTTTCGGAAGCTTCAGTTAGTCCAACAGTCGGCAGCCAGGTTGTTAACTAGAGCGGCGTACAGGGAGCGTACTATTCCTTTGTTGCGTCAGCTCCACTGGCTGCCGATTAGCTTCCGGGCACAATTCAAAGTGCTGGTTTTAACCTTTAAAGCCCTGAACAGTTCTGGCCCAGATTACTTGCCCGAACGTATCTCCTGCTATGAATCATCACAAAGCTTAAGATCGTCAGGAGAGGCCTGCTCTTAATCCCAAGGGCCTTCTTGGCAGTGCCCCCCATCTGTGGAACTCCCTCCCTAAGGACATAAGGTTGGCTACCTCCCTCCTGTCATTTAGAAGATAACTGAAGACCTGGCTCTGGGGCCAGGCGTTTGACTAGATGATAGTGACAATAGGAAAAGGAACTTTGGGTTTGCGATATTGGATTCCCTGGCTTGATTTTTGGTTTTAGTGGCATGCTAATATTATTGTTAAATGAATGTATTGGTTGATTTGTACAATGTTTAAAAATGTTTTAACTGTTATTCTTATGATGTATATATTGTAAGCCTATGTGAGGCTGCCCTGAGTCCCCTTTGTGGGAAGAAGGGCGGGATAGAAGTGTATGAAATAAATGAATGAATACTCAAACAAGTTATAGAGAGATCAAGAGGGTCTGTGAAATGGCAGGAGGCTACAGCAGGCCATGCCTCTACATATCTGTATAGTGCTCAGCATGTAGCAAAATCAAGATTTCTTTTTAAATATATTTTCAAGCCATGATGGTTGAATTTATGGGTGTAGAACACATGTTTATTATGGAGGGCCCACTATAGATCAAAAAAGAAAACAAGCATGAGTCAACTAACCCAAACCATGATTACTGCAAACCAATAGTTGAGCAACATCTCTTCTAACCATACTTGCTTCTCATCAGTGATTCTAGCAAATGGAGAGTTTATGCAATTTCAGCAGATTTCTAAAAAAACTTGCAGACCTTAATGACAGCGATGATCGCTTCACTTCCAAACTGGTCAAGTATCAGGACCATCAAGACTTTATTTGAGCTTCCTGAATAACTTCCAATGACAAATACCCTGATTTAAAACCATCTTTGCATTTCCTGAATCTTATATATTTTTCCCTTTCTGGGATCGCTATCTCTAACAGCATGTCTTTTCCTTTCTGTTCAGGCTGCTCAGTGGAGCTCCCCGAGATGTGGCCTCAAAGATGGACAATAGCACCCGGATGGGTGCCATGTATGCTTGCCCTCTGACCGCATCTACTGACGACTGTGAACGGGTGGACATTAAGGTGTTAAGTACGTGAAAGTGTGCGAAGGAGAGCTTCCCTTGAGCATGATGCAGTTCAAGGACCATAGATGTAGGATAAAGCTTGTAGCATGTCTAGAATCAGTTAGATTCCAAAGAACACGGCATTTTCCAGTGGTGTAGCTGTGTTAATCTCTTGAAGTAAAAATTACATTGGCTTATCTTTCACACTAAACTGGAGCATGAGTTTACTGGGACGACAAAAATGGTTCTCAATTATTAGTCCTACAGATGTTTTAGACTTCAGCTGTCAGAAGTCCCAGTCAGCAGGGCCAGTGACTTAAACATTCTGGGACCAGAAGCATTGAGCAACTGGAGGACCAAAGTGTGAGAATCGATGGACTATAGAACATTTAATCAGATAAGTAGAATGATATCCTGAATGAACATAGGTATAACAGGGGGAAATGTAAGCTGTGGAGACAGAGAGGCAAATTGTGAAAAATTGGCAAGGTTATAGTTATATTAAAGTTTAAATATATGTGAAATTCTTAAGTACAGATACCAGATAGAGAAGTCCCACTTCTAAGGATTGGTTGCAGACATACTGTGCAATGCCTTCTCCCACACACACACACGTCACCACCACCACATATCTGTGGGGGATACATTCTCAGATTTTGCTTGGATATATGAAACTGCAAATATAACCAAATTTAGTCTTGCAAACCAAGAACAATTTCCTTTTTGCGAATGAAATATGATAATATTCCCTTATCACTTGCTGGGTTTCTGCTCGGTATCCAGATTAACCTCACCAGAAATATTCCCTATAATTCTTCTCACATCTAAAAATGGTAAAGGTTTCCCCTTGAGTCTAGTTATGTCTGACTGTGTGGGATGGTGCTCATTTCCATTACTAAGCCAAAGAGTCGGCATTTTCCATAGACACCTCCTAGGTCATGTGGCCTGCATGAATGTATGTAGCGCCGTTACCTTCCTACCAGAGTGGTACCTATTGATCTACTCACATTTGCATGTTTTCAAAATGCTAGGTTGACAGAAGCTGGGGCTAACCGTGAGAACTCACCCCTCTCCCCAGATTCAAACCACTGACCTTTTGATCAGCAAGTTCAGCAGCTCAGCGGTTCAACCTGCTGCACCACCAGAGGCTCTCCTAGCATTTATTGCCCTGTAATTCATTGTAAACAAGAATAATTCAAATCCCATGTTTCCCTTCCTCATCATTCTCTGATGGAGGACATTTGTTGTATCCTCTAGGCATGAGAAAGAACGTCGAAATCTAAAACTGAAACGGGGGACAGTGATGGAGCACAAGTTCTTTATCGCTGCCATAAAAGATTATTGTGAAAGGATAGTGGAGATTATTCTTAATAGCTTTTTCCCTATCTTCTTCCCCTCCATGTTTCTTTCAGGTGAACCCCAAAAAAATATTGTTGAAGATATGTGGCTGGGGGTGGAAGTAGCAAGCCAGAGAACGTCTTCTGGAAGAGTAATGGTGAGTAGGATGCTTGTGAGTAAGGGAGGACTTTAAACTCTCTGTCCCTGAAACTCCTCTTAGGACAGTGGTTCTCAACCTGGGGTCCCCAGATGTTTTGGCCTACAACTCCCAGAAATCCCAGCCAGTTTACCAGCTGTTAGGATTTCTGGGAGTTGAAGGCCAAAAACATCTGGGGACCCCAGGTTGAGAACCACTGTCTTAGGAGGAGAAGCATCATCTTGGCAGAATGGGTGTTGTACACGGGTTTGCCGCTGTCTGTAAAATTGTAAGATGGCTGATTATTTTTATATTTATTTGTTGTGTCAGGAGCGACTTGAGAAACTGCAAGTCGCTTCTGGTGTGAGAGAATTGGCCACCTGCAAGGACGTTGCCCAGGAGACCCGGATGATTTGATGTTTTTATCATCCTTGTGGGAGGCTTCTCTCATGTCCCCGCATGAGGAGCTGGAGCTGATAGAGGGAGCTCATCCGCCTCTCCCCGGATTCAAACCTGCGACCTGTCGGTCTTCAGTCCTGCCGGCACAGGGCTTTAACCCACTGCGCCACCGGGGGCTCCTTAGATGGCTGATGCCATGTTGTAATACCACTTATCCAGATAAATTACAATTTGGGAACAGGTTTAAAATTAATTCACTATTACTAGGACCTTAATATTTTAAAAACAACCATTATAAAGGCATTATATTAACCATTAAATTTTAACAGTATAATTTTAAGAAATAGTTAACTTGCATTGTTACTTTAGTTCATTACTAGCCCTTTCTAATAGGGTTTGATAAGATTTTTATCTAACAATTTAATGAATGGATAAAAGAATTAACAGGAGAATTTTCCATTTTAATGTTAATGAGCTTGTTTTTCTTTAATGATGTAAAATCAACACATTAGCAGCAACATTAAAATTTCTAAGCTCTGGAATTAAGTCCTGTAATTGAAATCTTCATGTACCCTCAAAGCACTAAGAATAAGTTTGCCAGGCTTAAAATTGTAGATAGTTCATATACCTTTAAAGGTTAGTATAAAGAAGAATTTCAGAAGGCATTTCAAACTACAAAAAATGCATTCTACCTGAACATTTTGTTGATGACAATAAAAACAAAGAACAGGAGACCTCTTCCACAAGATCCGAGAAATCAAGATGAAATATCGACCCAAAATGGAGGTGCTAAACAACCACTGGAGGAAATATTACATGAGCAATTAGAAATGAAATGGAGAGGAAAACAATGCGTAGAAGGATAGAAAAGAATTGAAAGAAAGTCAGATTCATTTGAAGAAGAACCATATGAAGATTAACCTCCAGTTTTACAAAGTAAATTGGAAACTGTACTTAGAGCATTTGGAAGAAATAAATCACCAGGAACAGACTGCATATCAATAGAGCTGCTTCGGTCTACAGAGACAGCATATTGTTGTAACTAAAATAAGTCAATAAATAGGGACAACAAAACAATGGTCCACAAGGGTTGTTGTAGGTATTTTTCGGGCTATATCGCCATGTTCTAGAGGCATTTTCTCCTGACGTTTCACCTGCATCTATGGCAAGCATCCTCAGAGGTAGTGAGGTTTATTGGAACTAGGAAAGTGGTTTATATATCTGTGGAATGACCAGGGTGGGGTAAAGAACTCTTGTCTGTTGAAGCTAGGTGTAAATGTTTCAGCTGACCACCTTGATTAGCATTTGATGGCCTGGCAGTGCCTGGGGCAATCTTTTGTTGAGAGGTGATTAGATGTGCCTGATTGTTTCCCCTCTGCTGTTTTGCTGTTGTAATTTTAGAGGTTTTTTTAATACTCAATTATTTTGCTCAATGTCGAAAGCCTTCGACAATGGTCCACAAGGTAGAAACACCCATTATACATTCCAGTTCCACAAAAGGGGACAACAGGAAGTGAAGTGGTCTCTGGAACCAAACAATCAGAAGAACTTTTGTTTCTGTTGCTGTTCAACAATGGATTACAATGCCTCAAAATGTGGTAGGCTCTCTGTAATGTTTCTTATCTCGTAGGCCGAAGTAGGAGCCTGAGATATCTGTAGGCAGGCCTCCATTTTGGGAGTGTAAGCATAGGAAGCAGACATCTTGGGAGTGTAAGAGGAGAATTCGGGAGGAGCTGGAGCTCTCTCTGGATTGCTTAGGACTGAGAGGGAAAAGTGTCAACTTGACAGAAAGGAGGAGAGAGGTTTTGGGAACAGAGAAGAGAGGTAGATTTTTGGTGAGCTGAGATTTTTCTGTCAGAGAGCATTTGTGACAGGCGATTCTGCATTATTTGGCCAGGAGGGTCAAAGTAGATGCCTGGGTGCTTGTGTGGGTTTTTACACAAGTGGGTTTGCTCTCTGGGTTAGGGTATATTAGCTTACAGAGGACTCTGCTTAGAGTGTAGCTAATTGCTCTAGGGACAACCTGGTTAGGTTAGTCTGGGGAACTCACTGCTACTGGGTTTATTGTAGAGTGAGGAGTTTTATATCTAAGCCAAGTAACCTGCTTGAAGTAACTATTAAGATTATTGTACCTCAGTAACCCATTAAGCTTGTGTGCCTCATTGAAGAAGATAGTTGTTTGTTCTTATCAATAAATCTGTTATCTATTTCAACTTTTAAAGAAGCCTCAGTATTGATTCATTCCTGTGGGAATAATTCTAGCTGTTTTAACATCTTTACTTCACAGTCATCTCAGGGAGCTAAAGGAGAGCTGGTGGGCAGGAAGAAGATTACCTCAGGGAACCATTCTTTAATATTCCCAAATTATTTTGGGTGGTGGCAGCAACTCTACCAGAGTATACACGTTACCTCAACATACATCTAAACGCTCTGTGCCAGAATCATATTGGTGTCCAGTTGGGGGATTAGTAATCAAGATCCTTTATACTGATTTTGTTATACTCTCCATCTTGGAAGGGCTTTAAAGTGAAGTGAGATAATTAGCTTTCAGGTGTACTTTACTTGTTTTTTTCTGTAAAGTAGAGGTTAGACTAGATCAGTGGTTCTTTACCTGTGGGTCCCCAGTTGTTTTGGTTTACAACTCCCAGAAATCCCAGCCAGTCTACCAGCTGGATTTCTGGGAGTTGAAGGCCAAAACATCTGGGAACCACTGGACTCAAGGGTTCATGTGGAACCATCCACCTCTTAGGTTTTTTTGATTCTAGGTATTACTTGTCTTGCTGAAATCTCCTTTAATGGCACAGTTTTAAATCTGGCCACCTTAAGTGAAAAGACTCTGGGGTTGTGTCCTGAAGATGCTGTACTAAATTAAGTCTTATATACTACAAAAGAACACAATTGAACCTGTGAGTTCTAGATGGTAACAAAATGTGAGATGGCAGGTAGATTAGGAAAGGAGACAGAATAGAAGAGAGAATTTCCTATGAAAGTGGAACTCAGCTCGAAAGGAATACTGCAGTTGGCATCTATCAAGTATGAGAGTCATCGATGTCACTGGCACTTGCATTTTGTTTTCCAAGGCGCCTACACGTCTGGCTTCCATTGCCCAGAGCTATTTCTTGAATTTCAGCTAATTCCACTAAAGATGTTTTTGAAGTACTGGAAGGTGCTGATATGGCAGAGGACCAAAATAGCAACTGGGAGAGATCCAGAGAAGAGAAGACTCTTGGGTGGAAGATAGATGTGGAGGAAGATGTGTGTGTGTTTGTTCTTTTTTTATATATAATTTTGATTGGCATACGCCATGAAGTTGTGGTTGATGATTAATGTATCATGCTCAATGAATCTATACTGTAGAATTAATGCAGTTTGAAAACACTTTATCAATTATGATTAAATTCTATGGAAACATGAAATTTCTAGTTTTACAAGGTCTTAAGCCTCACCAAATTCCTGGCATTCCATAACATTGACCCATGGCGGTTAGAGTGGTATTCAGACTACATTAATTCGATCACAGGTTTGGGCCTTGATATCTCTGCAGCTTGGATGATACTGACCTGGCATTTTTTAGGAGGGAAAATTATGCTGGGGAAAGTGGAAGGTAAAAGGAAGAGGGGCAGACCAAGGGCAAGATGGATGGATGGCATCCTTGAAGTGACTGGACTGACCTTGAAGGAGCTGGGGGTAGTGATGGCCGACAGGGAGCTCTGGGCTGGTCCATGAGGTCACGAAGAGTTGGAGATGACTGAACGAATGAACAACAACATGGTGATAGAGAAGGATGAACAAGAAAGTGAATAGTCTTTTAGCAGCAGTTTAGAAGACTATTAGATGGTCATAGGTAGCTGTACCATCTTGCAACACTTATCAAGAGGGAGTAGATTTCTTACAGTGCAGTTCATTTGTAGTTTGGTGAGGCACCTGCATTTGATAGTGATGCATTTCTTTTTTGAGATTTTATGTTGTTGCATTCACCACTGACACACATAGTGAACACTGAGTATGTGTATTTTGTATCATATAAGGCCATTCTAAGATTGGGGAAATGAATGATTGATCAGATATATATAAACCACAGCTCCTTTGGCATAGGCGCAAAAAAAGTAGCATTTGTGGGGCCGTACATTCTCCATCTCTGCCTTAGATTCAGAACCATTTTCAGAGTCAGGGTGGAGTCCATGAAGAATTTTTTCTTTGGGTTGCTGTAAGTTTTTTCGGATTGTATGGCCATGTTTCAGTAGCATTATCTACTGACTTTTCGCCTGCATCTGTGGGAAGCATTCTTAGAGGTTTGTTCAGAGGTCTGTTGACAATGAGGCAAGAGGGGTGTTTGTCTATCTGTGGAATACACTCCATTTGCCTCATTTGCAACAGATTTCTGAACAAACCTTTAAGGATGCTTGCTACAGATGCAAGCGAAATGTCAGGAGAGCATGCTACTGGAACATGGCCATACAACCCAAAAGATTCACAGCAACCCAGTCATTCTGGCTATGAAAGCCTTTGACAACACATTTTTTTTCTTTCATTACATTTCCACTGTATCAATGTACTATGGACAAGGGCTACCATAAAAGAAGTTATCTCTTCCAGAGATACTAGGAATGCACCCTCTGTTTGAGTATCAACTAAAGTTTTTTGGGTTGTTTCTTCCAGGCTTGTGCTCATCGATATACCAGGATTTTATGGGCTGGCAATGAAGACCAGAGGCGCATGGTGGGGAAATGTTACATCCGTGGCAATAACCTGGGCCTTCAGGAAGACGACGAGTGGCAGGTGTTCCACAATGAGATGTGCAATGCCAACGCAGACCTGGAGTCAACTGGAATGTGCCAGATGGGCATCAGTGGTGGCTTTACCCACGACAGTGTTTATTTTGGAGCTCCTGGTGCTTACAATTGGCAAGGTTTGTGTCACAGTGTGCTCCCAAATCTCCTGCACTTCAGCCTTTCATTGTGTATAGCCTCAAATAGTTTTATTGTGTAATTTATTCAGCTGGGGAGGATTAATACAAAGTCATTCATTTGCAGATAATTCTGCAAGTTTATATATTCTTCTTATAAGTGTGTGTGTGTGTGCGTGTGTGTGTATAAGAAAGTTTATACATTCTTATAAGTGTGTGTGTATATATATACCCAAGTTTATATATTTTTATAAGTGTGTGTGTGTGTATAAACATTAGATGCTGTTGCATTTTGGTGACAGTACAATCAAGGGCACCCTGGTGGCGCAGTGGGTTAAAGCACTGAGCTGCTGAGCTTGTTGACCAAAAGGTTGCAGGTTCGATTCCAGGGAGCGGCGTGAGCTTCCGCTTTCAAGCCTAGCTTCTGCCAACCTAGCAGTTCGAAAACATGCAAATGTGAGTAGATCAATAGGTACCGCTCCGGCAGGAAGGTAACGGCGCTCCATGCGGTCATGCTGGCCACATGACCTTGGAGGTGTCTATGGACAACGCTGTCTCTTCGGTTTAGAAATGGAGATGAGCACCATACCCCAGAGTCAGACATGACTGGACTTAATGTCAGGGGACAACCTTTACCTTTACCTACAATCAAGTGGAAAGGTATTAAATCACAATTACAAAACCATGACTTCCAGACCATTCTCAAGACTTAAACAGTTGATATAATGAATTGTTGTTATGTGCCATCATGTGATTTCTGCCTTGATATGACTCTTTTTTGAGGTTTTATGGGGGCAGAGAGTGTGAGCTGCTCAAGGTCAAACAGTGGGTTTCCATAGCCGGAGTCCAACATTCAACTCACTACACTGTTTATATTATTTTTATATTTGCATTTAAATTTAAATAAATTTAAATGCAAATAAAAATTCATTTAAATATAAATTCATTTAAACTTAAATACAATAGAGTATCTCTTATTCAACATAAATGGGCCAGCAGGACGTTGGAAAAGCGAAAATGTTGGATAATACGGAGGGATTTTTTAAAAGCCTATAAAACGACAAATTACGTTATGATTTTACAAATTCTGCACCAAGACATCATGTTTTATGACAGATTGACAGAAAAAACAGTTCAATACATGGTAACATGGTTATTACTGTTTTTACGTATTTAGCGCCAAAACATTGCAATGTATTTAAACAGCTGTGGATCCAGGCAGGAGGAAGACTGCACTGGATAATACAGAACATTGGATGAGCGAAGGTTGGATAAGCAAGACGGTAGTGTTGGATTCAGGAGATTTTGAAAAATCATGTGAAGAAGTATCAAATTAGCAAATTGTTCCTGAAACATGAGTTCCAGTTGACTGTCTAGATCAGGCATGGGCAAACTTCGGCCCTCCAGGTGGTTTCGACTTCAACTCCCACAATTCCTAATAGTCAGTAGGCTGTTAGGAATTGTGGGAGTTGAAGTCTAAAACACCTGAAGGGCTGATGTTTGCCCATGCCTGATCTAGATGTAATTTAACATGTAATTATGGCAGGCTACAAATAGGACCGTTGGTTTTATTTTAAACTTCAAGTAGAAGACTCTCCAAGCAGAAAACTCTCATCTGATGGCCTTTCGGATGTAGGCTTGTCTTCAGATGCTGGATACAGGAAGTTGTGTCTAACAAGAGTAGAGTATCATCAGGAATCTGTGCCTGTAACTGCTTAAAGTGCTGTTTTATTGCCTCTGTCTGATGCAGGGACTGATTATGTGCTGCAGGGTGAGAGCTGGGAACGAAAGGATTATTCCTATCCTGATGAGAAGAAAGGCCACAGCTATATCGGTATGTGTAAACAAATCTCACTGTCTAATGCTGGCAACATTGAGTTCTCTGTTTTTTCTCTGCTCTTCAATAGGAAAAAAATATTTTACTATGCTTAATATGTCGTTTTAGCAATTGCTTAGTAATCCCAGATATAATAGCTTAAACACAGAATAAGAATATTTGCCAGGGGAAAACAGCAGTCAAGAGAGGACTCATATTCTTTTCCCATTGATGCTTCCCTTATTTCCAGGATACACAACTGAGGCCAGCACTGCTGTACTGCACAAACACAACAACACTTTCATCGCAGGAGCCCCCCGCTATAATCATACTGGAGCTGTCTTTCTCATGCTAAATGACAACAGCACAACCCTTGAGGAGAAGCTGGTGCTCTTTGGAGAGCAAGTGGGCTCCTACTTCGGCAGTTCCATTGCTCTGGCTGATCTCAACAATGATGGGTGAGTTGATTTAACAAAGGAGTTGGAGAAGTATCTAAACTTCTTAGTTTGTCCAATCATGGCCACCCCTATTCTTTGAAATCTCATAGAATCATATAGGTGATCCCAAGGGCTATCGAGTCCAATCTCTGCTCAGTGTAAGATCAGCAAAACCATTCTCAGCAAACAATTGTCCATTTTGAAGCTATCCAGATGTCCAGAGAAAGAGGGCTTAAGCACCCTAAAGGCACCAGATGACATCTGATGTTGTGAGTTAAGCAGGGTTAGCTCTGAGTAATACTTGGAGGAGAAACTATCAATGAATTCCAAATGCTGTCAGCTGTATTTGAGAAAGAACTTGTAAAGCCACATGTCAGTATTCTTTGCCTAAGAAAACCCTATGAAATTCATGAGCTTATATAAGTCAATAGACGATTTGAAGGCACATACACACACATGCATCCCCCTCCCCCAGAAAAGAGTCTCCACAACCTCTTTAGGTGATTGTTTCTAGTGTAAAACTGAAATAGCAAGGAGGAGGAGGAGGAGGAGGAGGAGATCGTGCAGACAGACTACAAGCAGAGGCATAATACCATTGCTCAGATGATCCATTGGAACTTATGCCACAAATACCATCTCCCTGTGACAAAGAACTGGTGGGATCACAGGCCCGAAAAGGTTACAGAAAACGAACATGCCAAAACTACTCTGAGACTTCTGAATTCAGACTGACAGAGATTTGGAGCACAATACTTCTGGCCCCACAATCGTGTTGAAAAACAAAGTATGGATTGTTGATGTTGCAATCCCAGGCGACAGCAGAATTGAAGAGAAACAACTGAAAAAACTGACACGATACAAGGATTTAAAGATCAAACTGCAAAGACTCAGGCACAAGCCAGTAAAGGTGGTCCCAGTGGTGATCGGTACACTGGGTGCAGTGCCTAAAGACCTTGGCTTGCACTTAGACACAATCGGTGCTGACAAAATTACCATCTGTCATTTGCAAAAGGCCACCCTACTGGGATCTGCACGCATTATTCACCGATGCATCACACAGTCCCAGACATTTGGGGAGTGTCCATCATGTGATCCAATACAACAGTCTGCATAGTACTCTTGTTTTCTGTGTACTAATCTTGTTGTGTTTAGAATAATAATAATTTATATTCCACCCTCTCTCCCCAATGGGACTCATGAAGTTCCTTCTAATATTCAGTTGAACTGTAGTCTCCAAGAACTCCAAACCATTAGCCTCATGGAATCGAAAAGGCACTGTCTTGGTTGGTTTGTTTGTTGTTATTTTTTGCCTTAGATAGCAAAATGTCTTGGGCCACCCTATGCCTAAGATATATGAGCTAGCCTCATTTCTCTTTTTTGTTATCGGTAGGTGGAAGGATTTGATCATTGGAGCACCTTACTACTTCGATCGGAAAGAAGAGAAGGGTGGGGCTGTCTATGTATACATGAACCTTGGTGGAACTTTCCACAGCAGTGCAAATCTCACCCTGAACGGGCCCAGCAATTCCTCGTTTGGTCTTGCTGTGGCCAGCATTGGAGATGTCGACAAAGATGATTTCCAAGGTTAGCCTGTTTTTTTCTTAACTTCGCCTTGTGCTTTTCTGTTAACAGTGGTGCTCTTGATGGAAGTTGGAAGTTCTCAGAAGAATGCTGTCATGATCTGAGGTGGACTAGTTAGTTACTGGTGTGGCCTAGTAAGGTTTGAGAATCATGGCTCCTGAAGACCACCTACACCATGCATGGACAAACTATGGCCCTCCAGGTGTTTTGGACTTCAACTCCCACAATTCCTCACAGCCTCAGGTCCCTTCGCAATACCTCACAGCCTGAAGCTGTGAGGAATTGCGGGAGTTGAAGTCCAAAACACTTAGAGGGGCAAAGTTTGCCCATGCCTAACCTAGACTATAGTGTGACTTCTTACCTATTGCCCAAAATGTACCTTATCCCCCAAACAAGATGAAAAGTGAACATAGAGAAAAATGATATGTGCTAATAAAAAGCCAATGGGATGTTGTACTTTCCTTCCTTCTTAACCATTAGTAACCCAGATGTTTGAGATTTCAATTCGTAGAACCCTTGACCTTTGGCCATGGTGGCTGAGTCTTCTGTATGTCCATATCCAAAGCATCTTGAGGAGCAAAAATTGAGGACCACTGTTTTTAAGTGATAAAAGATTTCTGGGATTCGAATATGATAGCTTATGATTTGGAATGTTAGAGAAAATTATTTATAAACATACTTTGGTAATAATGCTGGCAACACACATTTTGATGCCTTAGATGTTAGTCTCATTTCTGGGTATATTTGACCTGTTGATTCCAAAAAGTCACCAGTTTTCCCCTAACAACTCTGGTTTTTGGGATACAGAATACATGCTATCTACTTGCCCATAGAAAATAATAATAATCATATCTAAGACACTTGAACAAATATGGTCTATCCATTGCAATTTTCTGAATCAGTGTCTCAAATAAGCATAGAAACAGGCTAAAAACCAAGACACCTATATATATATATTGTATTGTTGAAGGCTTTCATGGCCGGAATCACTGGGTTGTTGTAGGTTTTTCCGGGCTATATGGCCATGTTCTGGAGGCAATTTTTCTCCTGACGTTTTGCCTGCATCTATGGCAAGCATCCTCAGAGGTAGTGAGGTCTGTTGGAAGTAGGAAAAATGGGTTTATATATCTGTGGAATGACCAGGGTGAGACAAAGGACTTTTGTTTGCTGGGGCTAGATGTGAATGTTTCAGCTGATCACCTTGATTAGCATTCAATGGCTTAGAAGTGCCCGGGGGGAATCCCTTGTTGAGAGTGATTTTATGTGCCTGTTTGTTTCCCCTCTGTTGTTTTGCTGTTGTGATTTTTGAGTCCTTTAATACTGGTAGCCAGATTTTGTTCATTTTCATGGTTTCTTCCTTTCTGTTGAAATTGTCCACATGCTTGTGGATTTCAATGGCTTCTCTGTGTAGTCTGACATGGTGGTTGTGAGAGTGTCCAGCATTTCTGTGTTCTCCAATAATATGCTGTGTCCAGGTTGGTTCATTGGTTGGGCTGTGTAATACATTGTTTCAGATACTTCCATCTAACCCTTTCCTTCTCCCCCCATTTCTCCCACAGATATAGCCATTGGAGCTCCATTTGAAGGGTCAGGGAAAGTATATATCTACCACAGCAGTGTGGGAGGGCTTATTGATAATCCCCGGCAGGTAAATATATCTTGCTTTCTCCTCTTTAGCATCGTAACATTTCCTTCTCATATACTGAAGAAAATATGATGTCACCTAGCATAGTATCAGATATGGGAGCTTTTCTTCAGCTAAGGATGAGCCAAAACTTTGAAACACCCAATTGCCACAGATAGGGTCCACATTCCAGCAGTGGTTGTGGTCAGAGCCAGAAATGGGTGAATGTGTACATGAAACAGTACAGAAGTCATCAAGGGCATCCAGACATCCTATCCATAATTCAAAGTGGAACTAGCAAAGAGATGTCCTGAATGAGAAAGCTTGAGGTCTACACTTGTCAATAGGCTAGGGCAGTGGTTCTCAACCTGTGGGTCCCCAGGTGTTTTGACCTACAACTCCCAGAAATCCTAGCCAGTTTACCAGCTGTTAGGATTTCTGGGAGTTGAAGACCAAAACATCTGGGGACCCCCAGGTTGAGAACCACTGGGCAGGGGTTCCCACGTCTTGCTTCACAGTCATCACAGTGCCTTCAATCACCATAAATTCAGGAAGACAGACCAAAGGCATTTTCTTTCAAAGGCAAAGGGCAAGATCTCTCCCACAAGAGCCACATGGACTGGCAGTTGAATTTTATTCCAGGACTAGTGATGGGTTTGCCAGTAGTTAGATGGGCAAGCTGCAACCCAACAAAGGGAAGGAGCCAGCATCTTAATCAGGAATAGTTTTTGCAGTTATGTCACAACAGATGTTTTGTTTTGTCCCAAAATCTGATGCCTGTGACAGGCATCCTGTTACACTATGTAATACCATTTGTGTTCCTGTGATTAATTAATGTCATTTCCTAATTGATTCTATCATAATAATTCTATCCTAATTAATTATTAATGTCATTTCCTAATTGATTCTATCATAAAACATGGGAAAAGTTTATTAAACTGCAAAAAAAACTTTGTTTTTGTGGGACATCCTACAGCACATTTTGCTATAGCTTTTCAATGAATATCCCATAGAGTCTCAGCCAATTTGAGATAGTTAGTGGCAGCCACAAAAACAAAGTTTCTGGAGTATAACAGCACTTCTGAAGTAAGCACCACACAATTAAATACAAAATAACACTTTCAAACCAGGAACATTTTTTTCCAATTTTGTTACATAATGTCATCCTTCTTGGTTGGGTTGGCCTTAGACCAGACATGGGCAAACTTCAGCCCTCTAGGTGTTTTGGACTCCAACTCCTACAATTCCTAACAGCCAGTAGGCTGTTAGGAATTGTGGGAGTTGAAATCCAAAACACTTGGAGGGCCGAAGTTTGCCCTTGCCTGCCTTAGACTTTGTGAGCTGGGTGTCAGAAGAGCTAGGCCTCACCTGAAAATTGCAATTCTTTTAGGTTCAACATTCATATAAGAAATCAAACTAGGTGATGTTCCCCTGAAGAGAACAAGCAGAAAGTTTCAGGTTCAATCATTGGTATTTCCAAGTAAGGCTGAAAAGGACATATTAAGATGTGTCTCCCGTTTCCTCTGCTGATTTCACTGGATGCTCCCCAGTTTCTGCTTCCATGGTCTAGACAGCAACCTGAAGCCTTCACAATGCTTCTGAGTACATATTGTGTTACTTAGACCAATAACCATTCTTGCTAGGACTGATGGAAATTGTAGTCCAAAGCATCTTGTTTTCTCCTAGTTAATTTTCCCTAGTGCAGCCCAATGACATCAGTGGCAGTCCTCCTTACCGTTCCACCTGCATGCTCTACCACCCTCTTCCCTGGATATTCCTATCTCAGATTGCAAGTCCACCATTAACCTAACAAACTTCTCTCTCCCTTTTGCATTTATTCTTATTCTACTCTCATTTGGTCTTTCTCTGCAGATCATTAGTGGGAAAGATTTTGTTCCTAGCATCCCAACTTTTGGCTACTCCTTCAGTGGTGGAATGGATGTTGATGGGAACTCCTACCCTGATCTGTTGGTGGGAACCCTGTCAGAAAATCTCCTGTTGCTCAGGTGAGATGAGATGTTGATGCTGGCATGAAAAAAAGTGTCATGTGCAGTCTCATAGGGTTGTCTTCTTACTTCCTAACTAATTTAGGACCAGAACTCATAATGTTCCTTTTCCAATGAAGTTAGTAACTATTAGAATTCCTAATGGTGGAAACATGTGGCTCTATATCACTCCGGTGTTTATTTTGAACTTTAAGGGAGAAGACTAAGGCCCCTTCTACACTGCCCTATATCCCAGCATCTGATCCCAGATTAGCTGCTTTGAACTGGATTATATGAGTCTACACTGCCGGATAATCTGGGATAAACGCATAATCTGGGTTTAGATTCTGGGATATAGAGGCAGTATGGAAAGGGCCTTTATCTTCTCTCTTAAAGTTCAGAATAAACACTGGAGTGAATTCACTGCCTCACTGACAGTTTCCACCACTAGGAATTCTAATAGTTACTAACTTCATTGAAAAAGGAATTCATAAGGGTTCTGGTCCTGTCTGTCCGAACATACCTTCCCCAATGAACAATCTCAGAGATTAAGATCATTTGGGGAAGTCCAGTTCTCAGTCCCACCTTCTTTGCAAGAGTGGCTGATGGGATGAGAGACAGGGCCTTCTCAGTGGTGGCCCCTCGGCTGTGGAACTCCCTTCTGGGTGATATAAGATCAGCCCTCTCCCTCCTAGTCTTCAGAAAGAGAGTAAAGACTTGGCTCTGAGAGCAAGCTTTTGAAAACCAATGCAGTGCAATAATTTGAATGTGGAATAATCTGCAATTGACTACGAAATGGCCTTAGACTCTGCTCCGTGGATCGTGTGTTTTTAACATTGGAATGTATTTTATTGTGTTTAATATATCAATTTTAATCCGATTTATTTTAAGTCAATATTGTTTGTTGTGAGGCACTATGTGAGTGCCACTTGTAAGCTGCCTTGAGTCCCCCTTGGGGTAGAGAAAGGTGGGATATAAATAAGGTAAATAAATACATAAAAGAGCTTTCCAGAGTACTAGGCCTATTCTGAGGAAATAATTCAGTACCTTGAAAAGCTCCCTTGAACCACCACCCTCCAAGACAGTCTGTTCCACTGTTGAACAGTTCATACTGTAGAGAAGTCTCTCCTAATGTTTAGATGCAATCATTTTTCTTGATGAATCCATTGGTTCGTTTTGTAACCTCTGAGCAGTAGAAAACATGCTAGTCCATTGTATATATAATGTTCAGAGTCAAACTTAAAGGGGGCTTCTCAGTCCCACTACTTGCTGACATCACTGTATCACTGTCCTGATGCCATATTTCTGTGCCACTGTCCACTAAAGTGGAAGTCATAAGTTACTACGGGTGCCCCTCCAGAAGCAGGGAGTTGCAGTTCTTAAAACGTAACTAGTTTCTTTCCTTTCTCCTCAAGATAACAAAACTTAAATAGTTTTGCTTGGTTTCTTTTTATACAAATGCTCCAACCTTCTGGCCTATGGTAGAAATGAAGTGAAAATAAATATTTATATTCTACCCTTTACTGTGAGGTTTCAACCAGACATGTGTGTGTAGAGAGTGATAAGACTTTCAGTGTCACTAGGAATTCACATCAGAAACAAACTGAGAGCAAACATAGCTTTTTCAAGACTGATGTTATCTGTTGTTTTCATGGTATCTAAGTCAGCAATCTTGCTGCTACATTTTGCATTGACTAGTTTCCGGTGGTGCAGTGGGTTAAAGCACTGAGCTGTTAAACTTGCGGACTGAAAGGTTGCACGTTTGAATCCGGGGAGGGGGTGAGCTCCCGCTGTTAGCCCCAGCTTCTGCCAACCTAGCAGTTCGAAAACAAACAAATGTGAGTAGATCAATAGGTACCACTCCAGTGGGAAGGTCATGGCGCTCCATGCGGCCATGCTGGCCACATGACCTTGCAGGTGACTACATACAATGCCAGCTCTTCTGCTTAGGAATGGAGATGAGCACCAACCTCCAGAGTCAGACACGACTCGACTTAATGTCAGAGGAAAACTTTTACCTTTACCTTAGTTTCAGAATCCCACATATTACCACTATGGTAATATAATCAGGAGGTTATTCGTGTATGAACTACTGCATCTGAGTTACTTACCTTTTCTACTTTTCCTCAGAGCCCGTCCAGTGATCAACATTGTGAGCAAGACTTTTACAGTTACTCCAAACCCTCTGGACCCAGCCAAATGCACTGAAGACTCCTGGTAATGGGTTCCCTCAACATCTTCTTGTATCTGGATTATTAATTCTCTCCTTCTCTTTTCCACATCCCTATGGATGCCAGGAGATGCTGGAAGGCATGTGTCAGCACAGATGGGATGGACGCATTTGACTATATTTAGCCTATAGAAAGGAAGGTGAAAGGGAAATGCTTTGCCAGCTTTCAATGTATGTAAGAGGAAGTCGGAAAGAAATGGGAAGAACCATTGTTTACCCTCCTCACCGGGTGCAGGAGGAGTAATAGTGTATACACAAGACAGGGAGAGAATAAGATTAAATGTAAATGAAAACAAAACCACATTTGGCAATGGAAAGAGAAAGGCAGTGCATGAGTATGAGCCAGCTGCAGCGAGAAGGGAAGGGAAAGGCACCTTCCTTGATGGAGTTTAAAAGTAAAGCACAGATGGTTCTGGGAAAAGCTTCTGGTACAGGACATCCTGTCCAGAGCAAGGAAGCAAACCTGTGTTAGTTTATTTTCGGTGTTACATAGTGGCTTCTATATCAGTAGGATGAGCTTTTAAGGAACTATCCAAGGCAATGGGGTTCAGCACTCTGGATAGTTCCTTTAAATTTAATACTAAAACCCAGGACAGATTTTCCCATAAATTAGTATTATTTATTTCCAGTATTTATTTACAGTATTTATATTCCACCCTTCTCACCACACAGGGGACTCAGGGCAGATTACAATGTACATATATACTACTAAGGAGGCTGTTCAGGTCCTGAACCGGTGCTTGGCCGCTGTATCGGACTGGATGAGGGCTAACAAATTGAAACTGAATCCAGACAAGACAGAGGCACTCCTGGTCAGTCGAAAGGCCAAACAGGGCATAGGGTTACAGCCTGTGTTAGATGTGGTTACACTCCCCCTGAAGACGCAGGTTCGCAGCTTGGGTGTGATCCTGGATTCATCGCTGAGCCTGGAACCCCAGGTTTCGGCGGTGACCAGGGGAGCATTTGCACAACTAAAACTTGTGCGCCAGCTGCGCCCGTACCTTGGGAAGTCTGACTTGGCCACGGTAGTCCACGCTCTGGTTACATCCCGCATAGATTACTGCAACGCGCTCTACGTGGGGTTGCATTTGAAGACGGCCTGGAAGCTTCAAATGGTCCAGTGTGCGGCAGCCAGGTTGCTAACAGGAGTGGGGCTCAGGGAGCACACAACTCCTCTGCTGCGCCAGCTCCACTGGCTGCCAGTTTGCTACCGGGCCCAATTCAAAGTGCTGGCTTTAGCCTATAAAGCCCTAAACGGTTCTGGCCCAGCCTACCTATCCGAACGCATCTCTTCCTACAAACCCTCCAGGAAGTTAAGATCATCTGAGGAGGCCCTGCTCTCGATCCCGTCTGCTTCGCAAGCACGCTTGGCAGGGACAAGAGACAGGGCCTTCTCTGTGGTGGCCCCTTGGCTGTGGAACTCCCTGCCTAGGGATATTAGATCAGCCCCCTCCCTCCTGACCTTTCGTAAGAGAGTGAAAACCTGGCTCTTCGAGCAGGCATTCGGAACCCCGGAATAGTCAAGCTTGAGATGGAGAATGACCCAGGAACGGCCAAGACGATGAAATGGATGAGGATTGGAATGAGAGGATATAGCTCTTTTTAAATTGTTATTGCACTGTCTTTTTTGTCTAAATGCACTTAATTGTTTTTGCTTTTGTATTGTATTGATGGCATCGAATTGTGCCAATATGTAGACCGGCCTGAGTCGCCTGCGGGCTGATATGGGCGGGATATAAGTGATGTAAATAAATAAATAAATAAATAAATAAATGGCAAACATTCAATGCCATAGACACACAACATACATAGACAGAGGCAACTTAACATTTCATGAGGGTATTCTGGCCACCAAGGGAGCTGTTGCTTCACTGTTTATTTGTGTTATGGATGAAGTACTTCCTCTTTCTTTGCAGGCTTGCTTGAGATTTTTATGGCCTCGTAAATTAGTTAAATTAGACTCCCTGTGTAGGCAGTACCTACATTTCTTACTTGACAGATGCAACTGTCTTTCGGGCTGCAAAGGTCGTCAGCAAGCTACACAAATTGGTCAGACACTCACTCCAACCCGGGCTGGCTTCAAACTCATGACCTTTTGGTCAATAGTGATCTTAATGCAGCTGACTCCCAGCCAGCTGCACCACTAACCCAGTGTTTCTCACCTGAAGCTCAAGACCCCTGGGGGGGTGTCACAAGGGGATGTCAGAGGAGTCACCAAAGACCATTAGGAAACACAATATTTTGTTGGTCATGGGGGGTTCTGTGTGGGAATTTGGCCCAATTCTGTCGTTGGCAGAGTTCAGAATGCTTATTGATTGTAGGTGAACTATAAATCCCAGCAACTACAACTCCCAAATGTCAAGGTCTATTTTCCTCAAACTCCACCAGTGTTCACATTTGGGCATATTGAGTATGTGTGCCAAGTTTGGTCCAGATCCATCATTGTTTGAATCCACAGTGCTCTCTGGATGTAGGTGAACTACAACTCCAAAATCCAAGGTGAATGTCCACCAAACACTTCCAGTATTTTTGGTTGGTCATTGGAGTTCTGTGTGCTAAGTTTGGTTCAATTCCATCATTGGTAGAGTTCAGAATGCTCTTTGATTGTATATGAACTATTAATCCCAGCAACTACAGCTGCCAAATGACAAAATCGACACCCCAACCCCACCAATATTCAAATTTGAGCGAATCGGGTATTTCCGCCAAATTTGGTCCAGTGCATGAAAATACATCCTGCAGTAGCAAAATCACAGTTTTGAAGCAGCAACAAAAATAATGTTATGGTTGGGGGTCACCACAACATGAGAAACTGTATTAAGGGGTTGTGGCATTCGAAAGATTGAGAACCACTAATAGCCTGCCCTATATGCCAGGATCTGTTCCCAGATTAACTGCTTTGAACTGGATTATTATTATTTTTTGTCATGTCAGGAGTGACTTGAGAAACTGCAAGTCGCTTCTAGTGTGAGAGAATTGGCCATCTGCAAGGATGTTGCCCAGGGGACGCCCGGATGATTTTGATGTTTTAATCATCCTTGTGGGAGGCTTCTCTCATGTCCCCGCATGAGGAGCTGGAGCTGATAGAGGGAGCTCATCCGCCTCTCCCGGATTCGAACCTGTGACCTGTTGGTCTTCAGTCCTGCCGGCACAGGGGTTTAACCCACTGCGCCACCGGGGGTGACTCCACAATGCCAGATAATCTGGGATAAGCAGATAATCTGGGATCAGATCCTGGGATATAGAGCAGTGTAAATCCAACCTCAGTTACTCACCCCTATGGCATTTTCTAAAAATCTTGTGAATGAGGAACACAACAGATTACCTTTTCAATGTGCAAAGCAACCCCAAGCTGTCTCTACATGCTTAGCATTTGTCGACTAGCTCTTTGAGGTTGATGTGTCTTTGAAGTAGGTTTACTCCCCTGTGTCTTTGTTCAGAAAGTTGGGGCCTAGATACTGTTCTGTCTTGTTTGTGCTTGGAGACATCTACTCCGTCTGTGGGTTCCATTCCATGTGGTTGTACACCTCACATTTCTGTTCCTCTCTCTCTCCTTTCCCTTCCCCATCTCCTCACCAACAGTATCAAGGTGCAGTTCTGCTTCTCCTATTCCCAGAGTGCCGGAGACCCCAAATACAAGGAGACCATCAGTGAGTAGAACTGGGAACAGTTCATCCGTTTTTTAAAAAGAGAGGTTCAGGAGGTTGGCCACTCGCAGTAGCCAATTGACTCTATAATCTTATATGTGTGTGTGCACCAGGGGAGTGGGTATTTTCTGCACTCTGAATATCCTCAGAGTCAGTATCACCCTGTTTATGTCTGTAATTATCATGGATTCAGATTGAGCCTAAAGGCTTGGTCCCACAGCCAGGTCTTCACCATCCTTCTGAAGGATCTAATATTGCCAGGAAGGGAGTTCCATTGACTATTGGCTAACTTGCTGAGAACTGAAGTCCAGCAATATATGGAAGGCCGCAGAGTTTGGCAATATATATATGGAATATATATTGCCAAACTCTGTGGTTTAAGCCTTTGAAATATTTCAAAGACTTGCCTATTTTTCATCATCACCGTAGAACTAAATTGGAATTGAGCCTTAGCAGAGGTTTTATGTTCAGAACCCAGCAGCTTAGTTGGCGAGGGATTCTGGGAGTTATCGTCCAAAAGAGTATCCCTTCACACACACCTAATTTTACCTGTTCGACCTTAGTCAACCTCTGGTGGCGCAATGAGTTAAACCCTTGTACTAGCAGAACTGCTGACTGAAAGGTCGGCAGTTTGAATCCGGTGACTGGGGTGAGCTCCCTGCTGTCAGCTCTAGCTTCTTATGTGGGACATGAGAAAAGCCTCCAATAGCCTCCAAACATCCAGGAATCCCCCGGGCAATATCCCTGCAGCTGGCCAATTCTCTCACACCAGAAGCGACTTGGAGTTTCTCAAGTCGCTCCTGACACACACACAAAAAACCTTAGTCAAGCCTTTACCTGTATTCTCCAATTTCTTTCTCTTTGTCTCACTTTAGAATTGAATTATGTCATAAAAGCTGACCAGGATCGTCGGCGGGTTTACTTTGCTAAGACACAGTCTCCAGTCTACAAAGGACAGTTTTCCATGCCAAATGAGAAATGCCAAACCCTGAAGGTCCTCCTACGGGTAAGAAGTAGGCTGTGCAGATTTATTTATTTATCGTGTCAGGAGCAAGCCAAACAATTGTATTGCATTTTTTAACAAACAAACAAACAAAACACAAAGTTTGCAAGCTTGGTAGTTTATTAAATGTCTTTTGACCAGTAGCTGGCCACTTGGAGTGCCTAGCAGGGCTCGGGTTGCATCACAGCAGATGGTCTGTAGTTTGCTCTTCTCCACACTCACATGTCATGGATTCCACTTTGTAGCCCCATTTCTTAAGGTTGGCTCTGCATCTCGTGGTGCTAGAGTGCAGTCTGTTCAGTGCCTTCCAAGTTGCCCAGTCTTCTGTGTGCCCAGGAGGGAGTCTCTCATTTGGTATCAGCCATTGATTGAGGTTCTGGGTTTGAGCCTGCCACTTTTGGACTCTTGCTTGCTGAGGTGTTCCAGTGAGTGTCTCTGTAGATCTTAGAAAACGATTCCTTGATTTAAGTCATTGAGGTGCTGGCTGATACCCAAATAGGTGATGAGCTGGAGATGTCACTGCCTTGGTCCTTTCACTATTGGCTGCTACTTCCTGGTGGATGTCAGGTGGTGCAATACCGGCTAAACAGTATAATTTCTCCAGTAGTGTGGGGCATAGGCATCCTGTGAAAATGTGTCATGTCTCATTAAGAGCCACATCCGCTGTTTTAACGTGTTGAGATGTATTCCAGAGTGGGCATGCATATTCAGCAGAGTACCAAAGCGCCAGGACAGATGTCTTCACTGTGTCTGGTTGTGAGCCCCAGGTTGTGCTGGTTAGCTTTCGTATGATATTATTTCTAGCACCCACTTTTTTGCACGATATTCAAGCAGTGCTTCTTATGAGTCAGAGCATGATCCAGAGTAACTCCCAGGTATCTGGGTGTGCTGCAATGCCCCAGTGGTATTCCTTCCCAAGTAATCCTCAGAGCTCGGGATGCTTGTCTGTTCTTAAAGTGAAAAGCACATGTCTGTGTTTTAGCTGGATTAGGGATCAGCTGGTTTTCCCTGTAATAGGCAGTAAGAGCACCTAGAGCTTCAGAGAGCTTCTATTCAACCATCTCAAAGCTCCCTGCTTGAGCAGTAATGGCACAATCATCAACAGATGACAAAATTAGATAAGTGAAAGGGAACCCAAAGATCACCTAGTCTGGCCTATGTGCATCTTCTCCCTGAATATCCTCATTTTGTCCACTCTAGGCAATGTTTTCCAGAACTTTGTACCTTGATTTTTTGAGTGACTACAAGTCCCAGAATTTGCATGGCTGGTGGGATTATGGGAGCTGTTGTTCAATAAAGTTACATTCTGACACTGTAGTGCTGGTTTATTCTTACCACTTCCTGTCATATACTCTCACCTATTCTGCAGGATGACGTGCGAGACAAGCTACACCCAATTGCATTCTCCATGAACTATTCTCTTGCTGAGAAATCGAGGAAATTCAGGTTGGGCCCAGAGTCTCTTGATGCATTTCCTGTCTTGAATGAGGATCAGCCCCGTGAGAATCACACTGAGGTTTGTGCTGTGCAAAAATGAAACAAATCTCTTTCCTATTTACTATTGTGTCTCATTTGTCTCTGTCGCACCTCACAGTTTAGCATTTGGCTATGATTTTAACTGCCATGGCTCCATCCAGTGGCATTCTGGAATTTGTATTTATTTATTTATTTACTATACTAGCCATCCCCTGCCATGCGTTGCTGTGGCCCAATCTGGCGATCAGGAAAATAACATCATGAGAAAGTGTTGATTTCTAATATATGTAATTCCTTTATGCTTGTGGATAAACGGTATTTCTTGCTGTTTCTTTGTCAGTGTTGATGTAGATATTATATGGTTTGCCTACTCTGGAGCATGCAACATGCAAATTGTCCTTCTTTAGGGGTCCCTTTCAAATCTATGATATTATATCTGTGTGTGAATCATATGTATCTATCTAGCTAGCTATATCTATGGTTGGATGGCTCTTTGTCAGGAGGGCTTTGATTACGTTTTCTTGCCCTGATGAAGGGAGTTGGACTGGATGGCCTTAAGTATTTTCTGTTGGTCATGGGAATTCTGTCTGGGAAGTTTGCTCCAATTCCGTCATTTGTGGGGGCGTTCAGAATGCTCTTTGATTGTAGGTGAACTATAAATCCCAGTAACTACAACTTCCAAATGTCAAAGTCTATTTCCTCCAAACTCCATTTGTGCACATATTTGGGCATATGGAATATTCGTGCCAAGTTTGGTCCAGATCCATCATTGTTTAAGTCCACAGTGCTCTCTAGATGTAGGTGAACTACAACTCCCAAACTCAAGGTCAATGCCTACCAAACCCTTCCAGTATTCTCTGTTGGGCATGGCAGTCCTGTGTGCCACATTTGGTTCAATTCCATCTTTGGTGGAGTTCAGAATGCTCTTTGATTGTAGGTGAACTATAAATCCCATCACCTCCAACTCCCAAATGAAAAAAAATCAATTTTTTGGAGTGATGGTCACTCCTTGAGCTTCATGCATGAGAAGGAATTTGAAGTAGTTGTCCCAAGTCTCTGTCTGACACCTGATTCACTGTTTCTGTTCTGTCCTGACTTGATAAATCTGTTTTCAGATCCAGTTCCAGAAAGAATGTGGAACTGACAACAAATGCAACAGTAACCTGCAGGTCCAGGCAGTTTATTTGAATGACCAGAACCAGATGCTGCCCAGGTAAGACACTGCCACCTGCTGGTGAAAAAGAAAAGTAGGACACAATTCCTCTCAATCCCTACTCTGTTATAGTGTGATTATGTCACTTTAATTGCTGTCACAACATCCTTTGGAACTCTGAGATTTTAATTTAGGGAGGACCACTTAGAATTCTCTTGGCCTCACTAAACTACAAACTGAGGAATTCCTTAGAAAATGGCTATTGCAGTAAAAGTGGAATATATGGCACTATCACAATGTACTCCCTGGTGGTGCAGCACATTAAACCAGCTGAACTTGCTGACTGAAAGGTTGCCAGTTCAAATCCAAGGAGTGGAGTGAGCTCATGCTGTTAAGCCCAGCTTCTGTCAACCTAGCATGCAAATATGAGTAGATCAATAGGTACCGCTCCAGTGGGAAGGTAATGGTGTTCTATGCAGTCACGCTGGCCATATGACCTTGGAGGTGTCTACGGACAATGCCAGCTCTTCAGCTTAGAAATGGAGATGAGCACCACCTTCCAGAGTCAGACTTGACTAGACCTAATGTCAGGGACAAACCATTATTTTTACCTATTACAATGTAGTAATAATAATAATAATAATAATAATAATAATAATAATAATAATAATAAAAATAAATGGTAGAAGAAGATAAACTGGTAGATTATGTGAAAGGCAGTCAAGAAGCAACATGGAGGGAAGTCAATAGCAGTAAACTGCTTAAAGTGCAAAAGACAAAGAGCGAATACCGTAAAAACACAATCCAGAGCAGAAGAGAAAACTGGCAAAAGAAGGCACTCCATGAACAGTTCCTGGGGAAAATTGAGAGCCAAACTGACAAAGAAAAAACATGGCTGTGGCTCACAAATTGAACTTTGAAAAAGGAGATGGAGGGCTTGATTCTGGCAGCCCAAGAACAAGCCATTAGAACCAATATCATCAAAGCCTGACCTCATGATCGTGTTAAAAAACAAAGTATGGCTTGTTGATGTTGCAATCCCAGGTGACAGCAGGATTAACAGAAACAACTGTAAAAGCTGACACAATGTGAGGATTTAAAGATCGAACTGCAAAGACTCTGGCACAAACCAGTAAAGGTAGTCCCAGTGGTGATCGGCACACTGGGTGCAGTGCCTAAAGACCTTGGCCTGCACTTCAACACAATATGCCAGCTGCAGAAGGCCACCTTACTGGGATCTGCATGCATTATTCGCCGATACATCACACAGTTCTAGACACAAGTTTCCGACATGTGTTCCAATACAACAGCCAGCAGAGTGTCTGCTGTGGACGCATCTTGTTGTGTTTCAAATAATAAACTTTATTTATACCCCACCTCAGGGACTCGAGGCAGCTAACATGAGGCCAACCCCAACAATTACAATGAAACAAAATAAAATACATACAAAAAAAAGTTAAAAACAAAGAGTTGTGATAGGGCCCTAGGTTGTGGGCCATAACTAGTGAAAATGTCAGGGCTTGGCCTAAAACTATGTGACATAATAATCAGGAATTGAGGATATGTGATAAAATTGAGAAACATTGTTTGCTTATCTGACCTTAAACATGACAGTAAATCATCATCATCGTCATCATCATCATCATCATTTAATTACTTATTAATCGCCCTCCATCCAAGATGCTCTAGGCGATTTACAAGC